CTCGAGAGCAGCCATGTTCGTTTTTGACGGTGTTGAGTTTGTTCCAGAATAAAGATCTAGATTATACTGTAGTCGCGAGCTACTTCACTACAACCAGTGGGACCAGTGAGAATATTTTATTATTCCAAAGAAAATGGAGTAGGAGGACGAAAAAATTGATAACTCCGTAAAAACGAACGAGACTGGCTTCAAAATCAGCAAAACATCACTGAAAGATACAAAAAGTTATCAAGGAAAGTCGTTTTTATTCTTAAAAGTTGGTTGTTTTGATCACTGAAATAAGACGTTTTTGTTGTTTTTGTTATTGTATAAAACGAATTGACATCAGTTTTATGTCTGTCCTCTTATCCACGATAAATATCGTCATCACCTTTTAAAAGCAGTATGCGATCCCAACACTACTTTGACAATGTGATGACGCAATTTATCGTCAATAAGAGGACAGACATAAAAAAACTAATGTAAATTTGTTATGAATGAATGAACACTTTTATTTAAGCAGGGTAATCCCTTCAGTTACATGGAATGTATAACTGCTATCAATAGGAGCCCTAATAAATGTAAGATAATAAATAATTTAGGTTAAAAAGCTAAAATATGAAGCTATAGTAATAAAATCCAAAGTATGTTAATAAGATCTAAAATATGATACTAAAATATAATACTAAGGCCGAGGTTAGACGTCGACCCCACATGCCCCGAATCCAACGCAAACGAGCAGACGCTAACAATTTCATTTGCATTGGGCTCGAGACATGCGAAACTCGACGCCCAAACCCTGCCCAATCACACGTAGCCTAGTATATGTTTAAATATTAATTGAAGTATATCTATCTAAAATTACATATTAATCATATAAAGCAACTAAAAANTACGAATGAACTTTACAGAAATATTTCAATATTAGTCGAGGTTGAAGCCGATATTCGAACTGTGCCAGCCCAGAGCAGAGGAAAACCCTTTGTGACTGATATTCCTACGACTCCTGATATATTTGCCGTCTTATTACCATACGATTACTTCATCGTACTTTATCTTTTATAAATGCGCCCCAAACGTTTACTCTTCATGATTAAAATAGTATTTCAGTCTCATCCGAACTTTTGAAAAAATTTCCTTGTTGACATATTTAGCAGAAATCTTTGCTATAATTTCTCAATTTGATCCGATTTTTAACCAAATTTCTAAAATTTACTCACCAAATTTGGTTACCCCTTAACTCTCTGCGCAAACTAACCTCCTATGGTCGATCGATCACTTCACAGGTAAATTACTCCTTCTTCGCAATCTCGTTGAATCTTCGTTTTGAAAGCGCTTTCTCTAAAGAGAATTACCAATCCCAAGCAGCTAACTAGATATAGATTCTAGTCCTCGGCCATGTGGGACTCTCTCATGATGTCATTTGAGCATGCGCAAGTTTAAATGGTGTTGCGCCTCGTAGGGGACAATTGTTCTTTCGTGTGACGCCTGCCTTATGGCAAATTATTTAGATCAATGGAAAAAAAAAAAAAAAAAAAAAAAAAAAAAAAAAACCGTGTAGAAAAATTATGACGATAAAATAACTATGTTAAAAATGTATTATAAACTGTGCAACCATAATAATAAAAACTGCGCTTAGCGATTTCCGTCCTTACCCTAGGCAAATGTAATAGATGGCTTTGTCTCGTTGAGCGCTGGGAAATACTACTATTAAATTTAAAATTATTAATAAAGAATTGCGGAGAGCGGCCACTTATGCATTTCTTTACTAGTTTAAAAGTATGATGGTCGCGCCTACTTGAAAGTGTTCCCCACTTTAAGGAGTCCATTGCGTTATCACTGTCATGGGACTTAACAACTATGCGTGCTGCACGTCTTTGCAACCTTTCTAGGTCTTTGCTATTTACCTCACCACAACAGTGGTATACGATATCACAGTAATCTAAAATAGGACGAATAAATGACATATAAATAATGTTTGCACAATGCGCTGTCAAGTTATGCCTAATACGCCCTAACATACCGACTCTTTTACCAGCCTTAGCCAAGAGGTATTTAACATGAGCATTCCAGCTAACATGCTGGTCAAATACGATACCTAAGTATCTAAATTCATAGACACGCTTAATGGTSTGTCCATTGACTTGAATATTAAAATGATCTACATTGTTCAACTTTGCATGAGTTCCAAATAGCAGAGAGTCAGTCTTAGTAGCATTCAGGAATAAACTATTTTCCCTCAGCCAGCAGACAATAGCATTCAGCTCGTCATTCAACTTCAGTTCAATTGTAGAGACATCAGAACTGGAGAAGAATAATACAGTGTCATCTGCATACAGTAGAATGCTGCAGTGATGAATTACGTCTGGAAGGTCATTAACATGCAGGACAAACAGCAGCGGACCTAGGATTGACCCCTGCGGAACACCAATGGTCACGTGTTCATGGTCTGAGAGGGTACCCTGAAAGTCCACAACCTGGGACCGCCCAGATAGATAGTCACCAAACCATTTGTTCTCGTGACCAACTACCCCAAGAACTGTTAACTTGTGGAGTAGAATCATGTGATCCACCGTATCAAACGCCTTACGTAGATCCACAAAGACAGCACCAGTTAAAAGGCCCTGGTCAATGTTTCGGCGAATAGTATCAGCAAAGGAAACAGCAGCAAACTCGGTGGAATGTCCTTTACGAAAACCACACTGGTACGGACTTAGGAGCTTGTGTTCCTGGAGGTAATTAACCAACTGATTATGGACCACCATTAGTTGCGAATATTGCTCGCAGACGCCGCAAAAACGTCCAAAAGTTTGATGTCATTTAGCTCCAAAATGAATTCGAATGCGTTGACCTCCAGTTTTATTTCATTTCTGGAATAGCTACGATTTAATTAATAATTGTGTCACGAGGGGAAGTGGCATGGGGGAGTAATACTTTCCCAAACTGACTAAAAGATTCTGGTCGCTTTTTGTGGCTTTCTTCTTCTTTATTTCTGCTACTTGTAGAACTTTACAACAAACTCATCTGAACTCTGGCTATGACTCTTGCCGACTAGCTGCGATTCCAACTCCAACTCCAACTCCAACTCCAACTCCAACTCCAACTCCAACTCCAACTCCAACTGTAACTCCAACTCCAACGGCTCTAACTATAGCTCTGAGTTGAGAATATATGTGGACCGCGTAGCACTTATGAATGACTTCCTAATTTCAGAATATTTTCCCTTAAATAATATTTTCCCTTCTACAACAGCAAAGTTTCATCAATATTATATGTTCAGTTTTGTTTTTAAGAAGACCATCACACATGCATTACAATGATTGAAAGTCAAGTGCACAGGTGAGAGAAATATTTTTACCTCAATCGTTGCGGTATAAAATAGGACGAGTAAGGCTTCTTGAACAATTACACCTTAGTTATATCGTTTTAAAAGTGCTTCCTGATTTTCACAGTCATAATTGACGATCTAATGAAGTCTGAGCTCGTTATGTGATCGTTGTTCAGGTAGACTGAGAGGAAACCATGAAACCGATGCTAACTTTGAAAACGTGGGACAGGGTAACCATGCCAATGACGTTAACCTAAAACACGTGGCATCGGGTAACCATGACAGTGACGTTAGCCTAGAACACGTGGTACTGGGTAACCATGACAATGACGTTAGCCTAGGACACGTAGCATCGGATACCCTTTAAAATGACGTTAGCCTACAAACCGTGGGTAACCATGACGATGACGTTAGAATTCAAGAAGGGGTACCATGATGATGTCGGCATTCAATAGATACCTGGTTACCTTAGAAACCATACCATATAACCATTGTAGCGGAAACATTGTAAACCCAGACGAATTTAGACTTCAAATATCAAACACCTACCTATGCAATCCATGAACATATGAACATATAATAGTTAACTTATAGAATCGGAAACGGCTAGCCTATTATGCTAGTACCCTGCTAACAAAAGAATAGTGTTGGCCAAAACCATGAAGCAACGAAAACCTAAAAGACTTCCTTTCCCCACCTCTTGGAACTTCCAAAACCATAAAACCCGTCGGAATGACGCAGCGTTCACATCGACTCGAAAAGATTGCCTTCCTTAGACAAATTCTTCGACTGCAAGTTACGCCAACGCGGTCATGTTGGTGCTATTTAATAAAAGATTTCTCATTAGCATACATTGTAAACGGCTCCACAATGGCCGCCATGCTTAGTACCCAGTTTCCATAGCTGCGTCTCTTCTATAGTGGGATCGCGGCAAAAGAAAAAGTGGAAAGCAGAATGATGGCCAAAAATGGAAACGCAATGGAACTAGACTTTCTTCAGGACCTCAGTAGCCTAATACGTGACGACCCTAAGGAATTAGGCAGCTGAGGTTATTATTTCATGAAGTCACGGGCTCAAAAAAAGAAAGAAAAAACGAAACAAAGCTTCGACCAAGGAAGTTAGGTAGCCGTCAACGAATGTGTATCTATTATCTGTGCTAGCCATTGTTTCCTTAAGAACGGAAACAGAGGCCGGTACGATATCCGGTATGGGAAACTCAAAGAACAATGGCAATGATGTCAGAGTATAAAAAAACTCTTTTGGCGAATACAATTCAAATCACGTCGAAGAAAAACGACAGAAAATTGTAAAATGAGATCAAAAAGTTTTACTTATAAGAAACGTGATTTTACTGATGACAACTAAATAGTCTCCCCGCTCCCCTACCCTCTCCTCCCCTTCCCTCTATACACTCCGCTCTTTAACCCAGTCTCCCCTCTGCAATGTAGTCCAACATTCCCGTTCTCTAAAAATTACACAACCCCACTTTCCCTCCTTTACTCTCATATCTTTGAAACGATGAAAAGTGATATTATTACGAGAGGACAAGTAGAAACACGTACGAGGAGGAGATGAAAAAACGAACGGTCGAACCTTCTTACGTGAAGGGCAGGGATCGGCAAAACATAAATAAGGACTGGTTTGATTACAATGAGAAGCTACTCAGCCAATCAGAGGCCGGCAATTTGTGAATCAACACTCGTCCACAGACGCAATACAGTAAAATGTTGCTCTGAAAACTGGGAATATCTCCCTAATTCTCGCCAATATTCGGCCTTATCTTTCACCTCTAGACATCCTCAATACATGAATGTGATATAAGGATTGTAAGATGCCTCGCAAGGGAGGTTTTGGTTGTTTTGGATCGCGATCAGATCATCCTGAGATTCGCTATGGGATCAGCGATGGCTCTGGAGTTCAAGTTCTTCGTGAATTTTCCCTACCAATGCCGGAAGAAAGCGAGCTTAATATCAAGTTTGCCGAGCTTGTGGTGAGTCAACAGTGAACACAAAATGACTTGGACACCAATATAAATTTCTACGAATTTGATATTTTAGGAATTTTAGAGTGTAAAGCTCTTCAAAACCAAGTGAACACAGAGGAGGCGTGCCGAAAGGCAACACAACCAACTTTGACGGATTTTTATTTATCGACCAAATAACTTCGACTTCCTGCTTTGAAATTCCATCACTAAACCTTGAATATTCACTACTTTAGTTAGTCGTGGTCCCCTTTTAAATAGTACTCCATGGCTGTCCGAAAACCTTTTGTTGTCTATCATACGAGTTTTCATTGATCATGAAATTTGTTATATTGGGTATTGACTGGAATCACGCCAAAATGTCAGATATTTTCATTGTCTATCGCCAATCTACCATCTATTCTACAGCCCTTAGAAAGTTCGTATTTGAATAAAGGGCTATCTCCAAATTATTTTCCTTTTTTCGAGTTATTTAGTAAAATTATCGATGTACAAGCGCTCTGTATTATCAATCGAAAATGCTAGATTTTCACGAAGCTTTGCAGCTGTCGAAATATATTAATTTCGTCCAAAATATGTTCCATGAAAGTTCATGAAATATTCGAAAATAACCATATGTCATTTTACCAAACAGTTCAAAACCATTAAAGCTTGGCTTTGATGTTAAATGAAGATATTTTCGCGCTCAGATATGCGAGAAACCTTAAAATAAAGACACTTGAGTGCTTAGTGGAAATACTGAAGTACTCGGTACATAAACCTTGATGAGATCAGCAATATGTCAAACTTTATTCTGCCAATATATCTTTGTGTATTCCTTCGTATTTTCATTCGTTGTACTTTGGCAATGACTAAAAGCTGCTACAGATCCCTTTGTCATGCGTTTTCCACAAACACCATATTTACAAACTTTGACCACGTTGTTTGTGTTGTTCTTTGTGTAGGAAGAGCTTGACCTTACGGCTGTTCACAAAAAGGCCATGTTTGAACTCCCTCCAGAGAAAAAATGGCAACTCTACCTCTCCAAAAAGAAGGTAAAATAAGACTTATACTCGTTAGCAACACTGTAAGTTGTTGTGATTTTCATGATGTACGTGTGAACATTGATTAGATTATTCACACCAGTTCATACAGTAAAGTGCTCATGTATACGTGCTATTGAATCCCTGCAGTGTTTATAGAGATTATTGGCTACACCGGGCGACTATTGAAATGCTATGTTAATAGTAACTGCATGAATTCTGTTTTATATTTATCATAGGATAAACCAAAATGTTAACCAAAGTTTATTCTCTTTGAAGAAAAAAAGGTTTCTGATCTTATGAACATCATAAAGAAAGTTTTTTTTTTGAAAATTTGCTGTAAATTATTTGTAAAATGAATGAAATAATAATAATTTTCTTCTCTCAATGGAAAATTTTTGTGATGTAGCAACCCGTCTATTAAGATAAATTGGTTCAAACTCAAAAAATTATTGGACTTTTTTGGAAAATGATATTAGTCTACAATATTATATTTGCATTTCAAGCCTCAAGGCATATAAAATTTCCCAATAATTTTCTGGAGTGCGCCTATGAGAAACGCAAGTAAAAAAACAGATGATTTCTGTTTTTGGCTTGTCGATTCAAAATGTTCTACCTTTTTTGCTATATTTAATTCCAAAAAACTAACATTCTTGTTGTCATAAAGAAATTATCAACATTAAAGCCCATATTCCTTTTTTTATTCTATTGCTTCTCATTTCTCTTTTCAAATTATTTAACCTCTCAGGAACAACAAGAACATAGCTCGACCAGTTACCCAGAATACTACATAGACCAGCTTAATGCATTAAACAATCAAAAGGTAATCTAATAACTTTATCACAGCCCTATTAGGGGGTAATCATGTCCCAGGGCTGAAAACAATGGCTGGACATTGGACAATGTCAAGCCAAAATCAAAACTTGTCTGGTCAAATCTTTGCTTTGCTGTCAGAAATAGGATGATTAAGCTAAAACTAATTTGGCCTGCGATCGTGTTGGGCAACTGACCAACCCTTATTTTAAGCCCTGTGTCCACCAACTGAATCATCTCCTCCAACTGAAAAGAAGTCTGTAGTTCTTCGCTAGTTCAAGGCTCTCATGTCACCATTTCGAGGCCATTTCCCTTGTTAGAATTTATCCCTAACAGGGCCTCCTAATATTATTATTTTGTCTTATTTTAGCTTTGCCTCATATTTCTTCCACAATTGCCTTTGCAACTTCTTTCATTTTGTTTCTGCTCATATAGTTCGCATTTTCGAGTGTCTTGTTAAGTTATTACAGTCTTACGGACATGTAATTCGTAATAAGTATAATTAGAGGTTCCAAGATATTTCTACGCCCTTGTTTCTATAGTTTGTACATTCATTCATGTACATTCAGTCTTTAGAGCTGCAGTTGTTAATATTTATATTATGTTATTTAATGTATTTAATTTTGTTATCTACAGTTATATTTTTCTAAGAGCAATGAAGARAGTGAAAGAGCATCACTTCTTGATGGACTCAAAACGGCACTGAGAACGCAACCCCTAAGGTAGATAAARCATGTTTAAAAACAATGGGTTATAGAAAATATACTGTATAATATATGCATGTTGTGCTTAAATCMCATTAACGATATTAGTCACCTGGAAAAACTAGAAATATGAGATTGCTGTGGATCATGGGAAACACTTCACACCAAACGATCCTTCATCTAATAAAGTATAAATAGCGTACAGTAGATGTTTGCTCACTTGTGACAATTGCTTCCAAGGCAAATCAATAGTCCATAAAGATGGGTGCGTTAGGACTGCACCAGTTATTATAGAKTACATTGTATTACAAAGTTGTGGACTACTTTGTGATAATGTGTCTTCTTTTTTAGGTTTGTTCATAGATTTGTTGAACTGGATGGTCTTTCCTGTTTATTGGGTCTTTTAGAAAGCATGGATTTTCATACATGGTAAACCAGTAAAAAAATACAATCTTATTAGCTATTCCAAATTTGAAAAAAGAAATGGGTAAAGTTGGCATTGCAGTGCATTGTGGGACTGTTTGGTGGACTCTTTTCTGAGATGGAGTCTATTTTTTCCTCTAAGACAGCCCCACAATGCAATGCAATGCCAACTCCGACCAGTTTTTTCCTCAAACTCAGAAAATTAGTATCCATAGGATATAATATAGAATAGAATATGTATTAGCCATTTTGAGGTTAAGGTAAATATTGGGTCAAGTTGGCATCACAGTGCATGGTGTGGCTGTTTAATTAAGGGAATATATTTCCTAAATGGCGGCTATTTTGTCACCTACAATAGCCCCACAATGCACTGCAATACCAACTCCACCCAGCTTTTCCCTCAACCTTAGAATGGCTAAGAGATTTATGATACCTGCATGGGGGGAGGGGGGTGGGTGTATGCCCCTGTATACATGTAGTAAATATAATAATAGATAGCATAATACTAGTGCATCAATTTGAATTCTAATCATGATTGTATATTTTCTTATGATTTCTCCAGTCAAAGCAAGATTCATACTGCAGTGATTGGGTGTTTCAAAGCCCTGATGAACAGCTCTGTAAGTAGTATATTACTAGCATTAGGTACCAGGTATTATGTATTGTGTACTAAATAAATTAAGCACTTTCCACTTAGATTATATTTTTTGTTCTTTTTAGCATGATAAGCACTTTCCAATGGGATTTTTTTTTTTTGTTCTTTTTAGCATGGTAGAGCTCATGTTCTTGCCCATCCGTCATGCATTAATATCATTGCACAAAGTTTAATGACTGAAAATGTGAAGACCAAGATTCAAGGTATTTATGTTTGTGCTGGATACATAAGTCTGTTAGACTGTCAGAGAGTAAAATTTAGCAAAACCCATACTGGTGTAACATTGGTTCATGGTCTTTACCACTGTTCTCATCAAGGATCAAGACCACAGCAAAATCAGTCAATACAACAAAGAAAACAACAAAAATATCAATAAGATTAATGAAAGTGGAATAACTGGTTGCATTCTCAATTGAATAAAAACAAATGTGATTGCCAATCCCTCTGATACATGCAACTTTAACCTTGTTTATTGCAGTGCTTGAAATTCTTGGTGCTGTCTGCCTCGTTCCTGGTGGACACAAGAAAGCATTAGATGCTATGACACACTTCCAGAGATTTGCGGAGGAGAGAACGAGGTTTCAGGTGAGGAAAACTAATCAGACAGGAAAGATGTCAGATGATGACCAATGTGACAGTGGTAGTAACAGTGTTGGAGTTGATAATGGTATTGTYGTTGGTGGTTGTGATGGTGATGAAAAACATGATGATGTTAATGGATCCACTCTTTCCAAAACGTTATGGTGATGACTTCATTTCATGACTTTTAAATAGATCCTGCTGCCCAATCTGTGTTAAAATTCAAACCCCCTTATCAGAGCAGAGAATAATATAATTGTACAGCAATAGGAAGGATGTCTATAAAACTGAACAACCCTGAGAGTTTAAAAACCCAATAGTCTATGAATTAATTTGTATAGGAAATCGCATGGTTTCGAGTTTACTTTGGAATAAATTTGCACGAGCGGGATTTCAAAAAGTTTAAAATTGCACAAGCCCGATAGGGCGAGTGCTATTTGAGCTTTTTGAAAACCCATGAGTGCAAATTTATTCCAAAGTGCACCAGAATACCATGCGATTTCTTGTTAATAATATAGATGCAAAAATTTTGAACCAAAATTAGATAGAAAAAAGACGTGTTGGAAAAAAATGCACGAAGCGAGGAACTCGTTTGTTTTTGTCAAAAATCGGTTTACAAAACAATATTTTATTTACAAAACAGGAAAGAAATATGAATAACAAAGATTACTTTTGATTTTTAAAAAGTAAAAACATGTTTTTTTAGAAATCATTTTTTTCATCTTCAAGACTTCAAATATTTGACATTTTTTGAGAAAACAAGTAAGTATATTGCGAAGAAATGCTGCAAAACTTACATCAAATATCCTCTTTTTTCAATTCCTAAACACTCAAAGGAAAGTTGAATAATCTGCTTTTTTTGTACAGAGGTATTATTTACCTCTTTACGGATAAAGTAGGTGAAAGCTCTTGAAGTTTCAACATCAAGTTTCAACGTCTCTCGCTTCAACTTTCGCGTCAAGTGACCTTGAACAGCTGTAAAATGGCCCAACTGATGTTTTCTTTCCTCCTTAATTCTCAAATAACAGGCAGCGAGTCCTCCTTGTGCCATTCTCAACCTTTTTTGCTGGTTTTCAACTGATTAAGCTTGACTTTTTTAGCATTTTTGAATCCAATTTTAAGATGAAAGTCCGCCATCTTGAATTTTCTGAGAACTTCCAGAGAGGGAAGGCTGTTCTGTTGCTATGACAACTGCTGTGATCTGATTGGCTAGTTTGAATTTCTTTTGTCTTTTCAACCAATCACTGAAAAGTGTTTCACATTTTTGCACTGGTGTTTCACATTTTTGCACTGGTGTTTCAGAAAAACAGCATTGCTCTCAACCAATCAGAAGTGAGAAATTTTTGAATCTATATTATTAGATTAATTAAACAGAGATCATTAAAACCACATTTTTATAACAAATGTTTTTTGTCTCATAATAWATAGATTTTATTAAATGACCTTGACCGAAGCACTGGAATATACAG